TTTAGTTGTTGCTCGGGCTTCTTTTTCTGGGATGTAGTTTTTGTAAGCCCCTTTTATATTCATTCCGTTTTCAATGAAAGATCAATTTCTATCAAAGTTAAGAAAGAAAATTCAAATCTCTTTAAGACAAAAAAAAAAAAAAAAAAAAAAAAAAAAAAAAAAAAAAAAAAAAAAAAAAAAAAAAAAAAAAAAAAAAAATCTACAATCTGAAGAGACAACCTCTAGTTTTACACATTTGGTTACTAGTGGAAGCTCAATCTATTTAATATACCATGTTAGTTTTTTTTATGAGCAACTACAAGGGAACAAAATGACAGCCCAAAAAGAGGGTCTCCACAACTACTGGTAGAGATACTCCGATCCAAAAGAATAAAACATAGCCAGTACATAGCAGGAAAAATTATTAAATCCAAAAAACTAGCAAACGTAGAGAAAGAATCCCTCAAAAGATTTTTATTCCTCTCGTTTCTAATAAATCAAAAAAAAAAAAAAAACTTTGTTGAAAGCAAGCCACAAAGTCTTCTTCACTCCATGGAATGAATGTCCCACAAAAATGGATGCAAGAAAATCATATGCATTGTCGGGTAAACTCTAGGACTAACTAAAAGCAACAAGTATCATGGCCTAGTATCTAGAATCAAAAGAGGAAAGACAAAAAAGGTGTCCAGGAGATTCGAATTAGAAGAACACATAATACAACATGATTGAGAAAGGTAACAATAAGGCATATGCTTTTACAACAGTAATGCAACAGTAAAGAAGAAAAGGAGAAAGCATCATCCATTCTAACCATACCATCTGCTCAGGGTGAGCGGAGGACATAAGGCTCTCCAAAACAAGTATAAGTTTGCTTTCCAATCCATCAGTAACCAGACTTAGTGCCTTGTCACAAATATCACCTTTTTTGGAACCATTTCCAACATATACTACATTGAGAACATCAATAAAATCAATTAGGCATTAAACAAACATTAATATCTATTGGAAATAAGCAGTCCTAAATTAGAAAAGTTCATATATACAGAAAGAGAGGAAAAAGAAGAAAACAAATCAGAAACGGGAATCACTCGTCAAAATGAACTTACAAGCATGCAAGAGTATGCGCCTTGTACATTTCAGCAAGCACTGCCGTTCAATGTAATATTCAAGTAGAACCTTCATAATAAAACCAAATAAGACAGACAATAACTTAGAAAGTATTACAAAACATGTAGAACATATTCATTTGAGTTCTTAAATATGACGTAAAATGCTAGTAGATTAATTTTAAAATTTCTATATTTAGGATTCTCCTGCAGTTTTCATAGCTATTTGAACCAAAATCAGATTATTAGATACTGCTTGCAATGGGGAAACATAAAGAGAAATTGAAACACAATTGAAGAACCCAAATTCACTACAAGATCTTACAGTCATTATGGACTCGATTTGCCAAGTCCTAATTAAAGAAGATAAAATTCTCGAACTCCACCAACAGAAATTTGTTTGAGTTACCACCGGTAAGGATGAGGTTTTGGTTGGTGAGTTGCATTTGGTGACTTTGGAGGAGGCTCTTATGGCCACTAGGTCAATGCCCACCCCTCGTGGTTGTCTAGCCATGCTTTTCTTGAGAGTGATTTCACTATCTTGGAAAACACTAGCTTAACTAAACTAGAAAACTTAATAAACTTAACCATGAAATTTGACAAAAAGTCAAATGAACAATACTGTTTGAGTTTTAATCTAAGTGTTGCTTGACAACACAGCTCAAATGATTGCCACTACTTTGGTCCTACAACCTACATAAAATTTCAAGCATTCATAAGTTTTTTAGATGATTTACAAGATCAAAATATCACATGCCCCAACCTTTCAAGCAGCCCCACCAACTTGAAAACAAAAATAGATAAATAAAAGAACCCTTTCCTCTCCTCTTCATGGTGGCAGTTGACAATTTTTTCACATATTTGAGCATCAAGGCCAACTTAGGCACAGCTTTACTAATCTCACAAGACATACTTAACACTACTACATTTAGTTGCAAAGAAAACACATAGAATATTAATTTCGAGGTAGATTTTTACATGGTTTGAACTTATTCCCTCTGAACCTTTTACTTTTTCCATTGGTCCCTATGACCACTTCCAACCTGGTGATTGATATTTTGGCGAACTGCAATTTAAGGATTTAGAGGGAAATAGTATAAAGGTTTCTTGGTGGGAAGGAAACAAGCATCTACAAAACTTCAGTTTATAAATGATAGTATGGAAGGGGTCTTTCAATAGCATCAACAAATTCTCCATGTATTTTAGTTGGGCTTAAGGTTGATAGACAGAAAAGCATCTTTAAGCGAGTTGCAAGGTTGCTTCCTTCCCAATGATCATTCTTGTTCATAGTGCTTCCTCTGTGTCATAATCCTATAACTTTTAGGTGGTCATGAAAGTTAAGAAAAAGTTGTCCTCTTAGAAGGCTATTTGAAGTGTTTTTCCTCCTTTGCCTAATGAAATATGACATTTTGGTAGTCAGGGTAGGAGTCATCTTCACATGCAATGATGCACATCTTTCTACATGCAGTAAATAAGGCATTTTGGAGAATATATATATATATCATCAGTGAAGTTCCGGGCCAACTTGCACACAGCTCAGCTCATTTTAGAGGACAACTAAGTGCCCACTACATTTTTGGTTGCCAAGAAAAATGCAAGGATTATAAATCTTAGGTAGTTGGATGTCGTAGTTTAAATTCATAACCCTATGTTTAAATTATTCTCAATCACCATTAGAACAACCTATGATGGTTCATTTCGTGTGATATACAACAAACTACAAGAGCTCTGGTAATTCAACCTCATAAAACATTAATCAATAAATGTTTGAGCATACAACTTCATGCATATATCCCCGTCTGAATGAATCCTCCCTCCTGCTACTCGTTATCATCATAGACTTGACTTAATATATGATTAAATATTGAATCTCCACTATTGAAAAAATATGTAACACCTAGCTCGAAAGGTGTCTATTAAAGGTCATATGAGAATTAATGAAACAAGCTACTAACCAAGTGAAGAAGTTCCTGAAATGTGGAATTGCTAGCTAAATTTTCGTGTTCCGTGGTTCGTTCAGCCAGAATGTATGATTGCACCTCATCCAAACACTGAAACCGACAGATACAAGGATATCATCAATAAATAAAACGATAATATATTATTTTATCGAGGGGAAAAAAAAAGTAACATGTCCAGTAAATATAATATGAGAATTCTCATGTTCTCTATTCTTTCAAGTCTTTCATTCTCTTGTTTAAGTTGGGATGATATTCCCTCTGGTTTTCTTTCTTTCCCTTTACTTTGTTCATTCTCACTCATCATATAAATTTGTATCCTTCGAACAATTTTGTTCATTGCCATTAATCAACAATAAGTTCGTATTTTGTTAAAATAAAATGGTAAGAAGAACAGAATTCTCATGTTTTCGTGCATACAACAAGACTAACGAAAGAAGTGAATTATTAGCTAAGTGACATTTGAAATGCAGTGGAAAACATTCAAAATCCGAATACAACAACTGCAGCATACAAAGCAAACAGGCATACCAAATAGGAGCTGAGCTTGAGGGCCTTGTCTTTAAGCTCAGATTGTATAGATAATATATGTGATCCTATTTTAATTTCCTGAGAATCTAAAGCCGCCCTCGATTTCTCATTCGGTTTCTTGAAGAGTGAAACAGTATCCAAGAACCAAGCACGGTTGTCGTCCAACTTTTTCACCTGAAAAGGACACTGCCACGGTTAATGTCCACTCAATCACTCCCGCCTGAAATATAAAGGGGAGGAATTGTCACCAGTTTTGGAGGAAGTTCTGCAGAAGAGAGGGGGACATTTTCGAGCTCAGTAAGAAGTAGACAGAAAGGATCCCACCAGAGAGAAGAGTCGACGGAAGTGGAGGCGGCCATGGGAGTGAGAGCTCGGAAGCTGAACCCTAGCTAGCAAGAATGAACACAGAAATGCCCGTTTGATTCCACTCTTTTTCGCGCCTCTGCGTTTCAGAGGCCCCAGCAATTGGCGGAGCGCGCCTCAGGCAGGGAGGATGTAAATATTAATGCCTCGTTTGGTTATTTTATGTTTTTAATTCGATGATGAAAAGGTTGAAGGGTAATATTGTAATTTCCACAAAATTAAGTATAAATAATTTTAAAATAAATTCAAATGTATTTTTAAAAAAAATTTAAATGTGATTATCTTTTTTTTATGGGACGAATTTACATTAAAAAAAAATTAGTTTTCAAGTTTATAAATATTATTTTCAGGTACGTTTATTAATTAGGCTAGAAAACGTTGAATTATTAATTATTTTCACGTATGTTTTTTAATTAAGCTAAAAATTTAAATATGAACCGTACTAGGAAATGTTGAATTGAATCCCTAACTGTAGCTTTTATTTGGGCCATTTTCATGACAATGCTTTCGAAAGTTGTAACTTTGTTCAACACTCAGGAATGGACTCTACCATGATGACTAAGTTAGGACATTAATTTAATACCACTCGTTTGAGACGGTAATCCTCGAGATACCTATGTATGACTATGCTTTCGCGAATTGTAACTTTGTTCAACACTCGAGGAATGAACTCTATCATCATGGTTAAGTTAGGGTATGAATTTAATACCACTCGTTCAAGACAGTGATCCTCGAGATACCTATGTATTGATATGATATTGTCCATGTTATGCGTTCATACCAAAAGAAATACTCTTTCTTATTTATATACTCACGATATTCCCCTTATTTATATACTCATGGAAGAGTTGAATTGGATCGACCTAGCCAACCATCAAACTTAGGTTGGACTTGGGTCAGCCTCGAGTTGTAAGCACTATGACGGTTAAGTCGGCTCGTAGAATTTCTAGAATTTCAATTTCTCCTCAACCCATTTACCGTTAGAACAAAAATAATAAATGCTTGTAAAAAAAAAAACTAAATTTGAAGTTAAAAGGGAGTTAAACACTATATTATAAACACGAAAGTATTGAAGCATTTGTGCCTTTTCATTTCCATTTCTGAAATAAAGAACATGCAAGAATCTGAGAGTACAATTTTCTGAACGAAAAATTGTTCATTAAATTTACAGAATCACAACAATCTTAACAATCCACACAAATCTAAGTTTAAATGTAAAAACAAAACAAACAACAGTTCAGTCCTGCTCCTTTTAACACTCACTGATTTGATTCCATTTCTATGCCAGAAACTGGAGCTTTATTTGCAGCAGCTGAAAGTGACTAAACCTCCACTGCACAATACCATGTTGAAGGCAATAACAGGCTAATGATGAGAAGCAGAAGGTGGGTGTTTAGGGAAACCTCCAAACTTGTGGTGGGAGAAGTACTTTGGTGGGAAATTGGGAAGAGGAGGGAAGTGAGGAATAGGAGGCCATGGCTTCTTAAGGAAAGGATGATGGGGTATCTTTGGAATGGGAGGTAGATGCTTGAAGAAGGGATGTTTTGGCTTCAAAAATGGAATGGGACTAGGTGGCGGTAGGATCTTTGGGATGGGAGGCTTGTAAATAGGAACCGGTGGTGGAAGTGGTTTCTTATACACAGGAACCGGAGGAAGAGGCTTTTTGTAAACAGGGACAGACGGTGGAAGTGGTTTCTTATACACATGAACCGGTGGCGGAAGAGGCTTTTTGTAAACAGGAACCGGCGGTGGAAGGGGTTTTTTGTAGACAGGAGGAGGATTAGGCTTCTTGTAAATGGGAACCGGTGGTGGAGTTGGTTTTTTGTAGAATGGGTGAACAAAGTGTTTGAAGTATGGATGGTGAAACTTGGGGATTAGAGGGAGAGGCAAAGGAAAGTGAGGGAAGTTTGGGAGGGGAGGGTACTTGAAAAATGGCCACAAGAAGGCTGATGTGCAAGTTTGAGGTGAAAACTTGAGGTTACCTGAGAGCCCAAAGGTGTGTGTCTGGTCTGATTTGGACACCAAAATGAGCTTAGAGGAGGGAAGGTCATGATGGGCAGGGCAAGGGGTGGCTGATGCACTGTAAAGCTGTGCATAGCATTCTTCCTTCAATTTTTCATCTTTCACAATGGCATTTGGAAGCAATACTTTGAACTGTCCTTCGTCGTTTAGCTCTCCAATTCCTCTTGTTTTGAAGTGGCCATCACTTGATTTGCAAGCTATGGCTACTTTTAGTCCTGCAATCAAACATGTTTTGGTTACTTTATTGTGAAAAACGTTTAAGAACGGTAACCGCCCAAGCCCACTGCAAGTAGATATTGTATGTTTTGGTTCGTTACATATCGTCGTGAACTTCACAGTTCTAAGACACGTATGACAGGGAGAGGTTTCCACACTCTTAAATAATGCTTCGTTCCCCTCTCCGGCCAATGTGGGATCTCACAATCCACCCTTTGGGGGGCTTGCGTCCTTGTTGGCACACCATTTGGTGCCTAGCTCTGATGACATTGGTAACAGTTCAAGCCCACCGCTAGTAAATATTGTATGCTTTGATTTTAAAACGTGTCTGCTAAGGAGAGTTTTCCACACCCTTATAAGAAATGCTTAGTTCCCTTCGCCAACTAATGTGGGATCTCATAATCCACCCGTCTTGGAGGCCCAGCGTCCTCGCTGGCACATCATTCGGTGCCTAGCTCTGATACCATTTGTAACAACTCAAGCCCACCAATAGTAGATATTGTCTGCTTTGGTCCGTTACGTATCGTCGTTAGCCTCATGGTTTTAAAACATGTCTGCTAGTGAGAGGTTTCCACACTCTAATAAGAAATGCTTCGTTTCACTCTTCAACCAATGTGGGATCTCACAATTCACCCCTCTTCGAGGTTCAACGTCCTTGCTGGCACACCATTCGGTGCCTAGCTTTGATACCATTTGTAACAGTTCAAGCCCATCGCTAGAAGATATTGTTCGCTTTGGCTCATTACGTATCGACGTCAGCCTCAAGGTTTTAAAACGCGTCTAATAGGGAGAAGTTTCCACACCTTATAAGGGATGTTTCGTTCCCCTCCCCAACCAATATGGGATCTCACGTAAATAATTATCGGAAGAAAAAAAAGGCATATATACCTGACAAGGCATGGCTAGTTTTGATGTTACTCTCCTTGCAGCCAGCACATTCGCCAATGCCAACGACCTCGACCGTCTTCACATCAGCATAGCACAAGGTTGCAGCAAATACAAATGACACCAAGAAGAAGCACAACAAGGGTATCCTTCCAAAAAGAGAAGGATTCCTCATGGTGAACCACAATGCCAAATCTGACCCGAAACCAACTCTCCCGAGATCGAGCAGCAGCTATGAGCTTCGGGGCAGTGTACAAGAAATGAAACAGATGAAGCTCATTATATAGCTGCAGATAAGTGAGTAAAAGGCTGAGTTTTGAGACTTAAGGGCATGGCACATGTGGTAGGAGGGGGGGCCCTTAAATGATAAGGACTGGCTTTGCTATGCATGAGAAAGTCTTGGCCACACCAGCCAGAAACCAACTCAACTGCCATTTTCTTTCATTTATTGAGCAATCAAAATGGTCTCAGCTTCCACACCTTTCTGAACCTACTGCTAACCAATATCACATAATTAAAATTCCTTTCAGAGTAAAGGGAAATGGTAACTGTTTGAACAGCCAATGGAAAACAAAGTCAAAAAACAAAAGAAATCTAAATGATGGTAACATATTGAACAGTGATAGTGGAAACATATTCAAAATATGGTTGGAAGTTGACATGTTTAGTAACCTCACATCTTAGAAAATGAAAGGTTCATTAATTTCAACCTTAGGATCCTACTAATTTGAGCTTAAATTACTAGTAGATATTGTTTATTTTGGCTCATTACGTATCACCGTTAGCCTCACGATTTTAAAATGCATCTACTAGGGAGAGGTTTTCACACCCATCTAAAGATGTTTCGTTCCCCTTTTCAATCAATGTGGGATCTCACATTTACAAACGTTAACATTACTCTATGAAGTTCATTTTTAGTGTGGGCATGATCAACCCCAAACAAATACTTGAGGCATTTCATTAACATCATCATTCATCAATGAACAAAATCATTCAGATCAACCAATTGTGGTGCACAGCAGTCCTCAAGCACGTTCAAAGCTTGTGCAGACTTAGCTAACTTTCAGCCCTATTTACTACCAAGGCTTAAATGAAAGGCTATTCTATTAATGAAAAGCCTCCAAAGTTGGAGGTTTGATGGATCTCAAGCCACTTTTCCTAATGGATTTTAATTTCAACGTGACACCTTATCAACACTTGTGGGAGTCCAGCTGTTAACTTCTTATTGTATTACAAGTATACAAGTGCGAGGGTGGAGATCTGAACATTTAATGAGTTTCATACCGATAACAAATTTTGTATGCATCAATTTTCCTAACTCCATAATGTTTAGATTTCAAGAAATTTTTTTGAAGGATACGATATTATAGTAGAGTTCAATGCTAAGTTTGAAGATTTGGGTCTGGTAGAAGTTTATGAACACTAATCGAATACAAGAGAAGCTACTATACCGACAGGAATAATGAGATGTCTTGCATTTGAGTATCTTTATTCGAGTATTCCTACCGAAAAGAAAGATGTTTACAACTTTGGTGTGGTAGTGTTCAACGGGGAGATGACATCTTGATTATAATGGAATTGTGGTTATTGACTGGGTCTAACTTTGATCTTCAACTACGTTCTGAACTTGTAGTTAAACCATAAGCCGATTTATGATATATTACAATCATGAGCTTGCTATTTCCAGTCTAGCATGCATACAGACAATGCACTAGGACATTCAAGCATGGTAAAAAGTACGTAGACATGACATGTGGATATTGTACTTAACATACAATCATGCACTCGATGTCCCCATCAAGTAAAATTCTAATATAACCGTAGTACGAAAATAATTGTACCACCTTCACTTCCTGCTTGCCACAGTAGTAACATTTAAAAATAATGCATCATTTAATAGAAAAATATAATTAAGTTCACGAACAGTAAAATAATTTCAAGTATCTATCCAAATATACTTTCGACCATAAAGTTGAAACTAGACCGTGACCATTTAAATAAATATTAACAATAATAGCAAATATATTATTAGAAACAATATATCAGGGAGGGTAGAACATAATTAAAAAGAAAATCACAATCACTGATTATTATTTGGTATCATCCAACTGCATCTCCATAACACATGGAATCAAGAACTTTAATGGAAAGAGCACCTAGATTTTAACTACTAATAGAGGCAAAAAGTTTTGGCATTCAAACGAGGAGGTTGGAATAAGAACAAAGTTTGAAGCAAGGCAGAAGGCAAAAAGGAACTTTAATGAATTGCACATCAACTGCTATGTTTGACAGATTGGTGTAGTAAATTTTGGAAACCAATAAACGTGAATCAAAGGAAACCACCACCACCCCACATGAAAAAGGGAAGAAAATAATACAATTATGGTAATAACACACAACCGACCTACCTGCAACTGCATAATTGGTTTGGTTTCATGTGATTTGACAGCTCAAAGAATTAAAAAGGAACACCAGAAGCTAATAACAGATACAACAAAGGTCAAATCCCACATGCTACATTTTAGGAACTAAAAGTTTATCGATGATTCTTCAATAGGTATAGTGGGAGTTCAATTGGGTGCACATTGCTAGAAATCAACCACTTTACCTGTGCATCTTTTTGGTGTCTATTTCTTGAAAATTCAAAGCCTATAATGAATAATTAAGCCCTATATTAAGCATAATAATGGTAAGAAATAACTCTGTAATTAATAAAAGACTTAAAATGAATGATTTCAAGTTAGGGTGGTCATCAATCTAATATGCGTTCTCTTGGCAACCAATGGTTCTCGGAAGCTGGCTGGGTACCATGGATATCAACAAAATATAACAAGTAAATTCTTCTAAAAAGGGATAAAAAGAACAAATAAAACTAGTGATGATTGGAGCACTAAAATGCACTTTTAGAAGGTACTCAGACCTTGCAATCCTATCAAAAGGAAAATTAGATATCAACAAGTAACGTCAAGAAAGTCAAGGTGAGGATAGCTTAGTAGATATGTACATAAATTCGAATTCCACACACCATAATGCCGTCAAACAAAAAAGAATATGGTAAAAAAATTGGATTAAATTAAAAAATCTCTATCGTGGCTATTCATATCATATATCTGCGTCAGTTCAAATTTGAATAACTCAACTTCTCCAAAGTCTAAACTGGCCTATTTTCCAAAAACTGGTATCACGATGCGCCTCTTATACAATTCAGATGCCCAAGTGTGAGTGACAAGAGTGCGTATTATGTGGTGCGTGTCTAGCGAAGAAAAGGGGAGGCAGACAAGATGAGTGATTTACTTCTTTTTCTTTAATTTGTTTGACGATGACTGAGAATATGCAGTGCCCTGCATATCAAAGAGAGGAATATATCAGTCTCAGTCAGCAGTGAGATGAAACGACTTTAAATCTAATCAAATTTAATTACAAGTCAATGAACTTACCTCAAGCCATTCGTCTAATGATGCATCTGAAGCCTTCGTTCCAAATTCAACCTTTGGAGCCCTCTTGGTTTTCTAACCAAAAAAAAGAGCATTGTAAGATAGCTTCTTAATATGGGTGCACGGGGTAAAGTCAAGAAGCTAAATAGAGAATGTTAAGTGTTGGAGCAATAGAACAGTCAATAGCCATCAACTCATGATCATGAAGGAAAGAAATTCAGAATTCCAATCTAATTTCCAATAAAAAAGAATATAACAGTTTTACTAAAAAAGTAAAAAAGAAAAGAAAAGGAAATACAAGAGTTTTCCTATTTATTTGATTTAACGAGATCGTTTTCACCACTGAAAGAGTATAACTACAGAGTGAAGAGATGAGAAGTCCTCGCAACCTAAACCAACGAAATCACAAAAATCCATTCCAATCTGCAACAACTATTTTCTTTTATAAAAAGGACAAAAATTACAATTAGTCAAGGAGATAAAACAAATTAAAACCCATAAGTACAAAAATCACGTCCAGTTTTGCTGTAGAGGAAAGAAACCAATGGTGTGAGACAATGGTCTTTTGTTAGCCAATGATTCTTCTCAAAATCTATTATATAAAATTATTGCTAAATAGATGCAAATTTTTCCCAAGGAAAATAAATGCAATAATTTTTGTGAAAATATACCTGTTAAAAATCAACCTTGATAGGAAATTGAGAAGATTTGATTGATCAAAACAATACAGAAAAAAGATGATAAGAAATAGACCCTTGGGCGAGGGGAATTACCCAATCAATCTATAGATTTGTAAGCAGATTTATTAAACACTCAGCTAGTTGAATCCTTTTTTACGGTTAAACATAATTCATCCACAGTCACGCTGCATATGAATCTTCAACACTGATATTAAGAGTTTGCTGCTCAAAAGTAGAAAAAAAAAATCCTAAAATTTAGATTCAGCAGATATGTACCTTGGGAAGATTCTGTATTTGCCCATGAATCCATAAGCCAAGCAGCACGATTAGTGCAATTCCAAGGGTAACGAGAAATACAGATTCAATGCTGAGAAAACCACTGGCTTCAGCAACTTCAATGGTACCATTGAAGAATGTACTCTGATATGGATGCTGATCCATCTCATAAATGATGGTTCCAACAATATCAAAATTCCCAGGCTGCACAAAGAGAAGAAATGCCTTTTTAGCTATTTTTACGGTATGCATGCTTGAAGTTAAAAAACACACAGACCAAAGAAAAATAATTTTGAAAACAACACATTAAATTTCAATGTAGAAGACCATCGCAGCAACACAAAGACCTGAAGATATTTGCTGACAGCAAAAAAGTACGGGAAAGTTGCTTGTGAGGATGCTGGTACTGATGCATTATTATACGGCTGCAACCAAAACAAGAACATAAATGTAAGAAAATAATAGAAGGTAATCAACTAAAATCAAAACGCTGTAGCAAGCAATATGTACATACAGGCACATAAGAAAGCTTAGAAAAAATAAATAAGACCTTTTGTTTTTACTTTCTTTAGCATAAAGAACTCAAGTTATGTGCGAAAAAGGACTTCACGAAAAAGCCAAAAATATAGTGTGAGATTAAGTATCCCTTTGTAAACGATTAACAACTATGTTAAGGAGACCAAACACACCTACAATAGAATTCGCAAAAATCAAGAAGAGCTCATAATCAAAAAAATAAGAAATTAACAGAAATCCAAGAGGAAACAGAAAACTATATCTTCAAATTCCACACATTCTCTACAACTCTATTACAAATTTTCTACTATTTCTGTGATTATCTACGTAGAAAGGACTACATAGAAGAATGCAACACAAGTTCAGCT